ATTGCTACGAGATTTTCGCATTCTCGAGGAACGGCCACGGGCCCACCTCGAGACATTGCTTTCCGGAAAACACGCGGGGGCTACCCCTGGGTGACTTGAACTTGTCGAAGATGGTCATGCGCTGCGCCCTGGGGTGTTTTGATGTCTCGCGCGCCGTCGGTGAGCATCTCCTGGGGCGTTTTGAAATCTCAGAGATCGCCGCGAGAGCAGATCTTGAGTATTCCTAGATTTTGCGCATGGCCGGGGAGCATCTTTGGGGCATTCTCAAAGTTTGCACATTGCACTGGGGTGTCTTTGGGGTAGTCTACAAGCTCGCGAATGGCACTGGAGTTTCCTGTGGAGTATTTTGAAAGGTCGCTGAATGGCACTGGGGCGTCTTTGGAGTATGTTTAATTTTCGCAGGTGGCGCTGGAGCATATTTGGGATATTGCGGCATGTCGCAAGTGGCGGTGGAGCGCCCATGGAAAATGTTAAGGTACTTTTGAACCATGATTGGAACGTTTCTTGATGGCGTGCAATCTGCGGGGGTATTTGGGGGCATTTCTAAATATTTGAAATCTGCGGGGGTGTTATGAGTATTTTGAATATGCGTGACGTGCTGTTGGAGTATGTTGCGCGCGCGTCGTGCTTGAAATCCCCTTCTGGAACATTTTGCGTCGCCGGCGAACGCGCGACGCCCTGCGCTATAAGCATGTCGGACACTCGCTTTGGGCATCCGAAGCGCCAATGCTGCACTGGCGGCGACGTTTGTCTGCGCCCTGGATGCCCCGACGGCGCCATCGACGTTTGGGGCGCGCCGCAGGCTCCCAGCCTGCTTTGCAACGTGCGCGCTGGGCCCACCAATCTGCGCGCGTGAGCATGCGTATATAGAAGCGCGCGTGCAAGTAAGCATATTGCTCTGCCCTGATTGAACGCGCCTTACTGACGTCGCGCGATCCGCGCGACCACCTCGCCGATCAAATGGATCAATCTCAACCTTTAGGCCTTCTACATTGACATGCAAACGTCGACATATAGCACTAATCGTACCTGGCCCCATCACGCGTCCACTTGTGCCCTCATCTACTCTGGCCCGCCACAACGGCACAATCAACCCCAATCTACTCTTTCATTGAAGAACTGGTGATTGTCTATATGACATCTCTACGCCGACTCCAATTCTGCCCTACTCGGAACCGGCTCCAATCTTATCTTGCGCCCAATCCCACCAGCCCTCTGGGCGTCGGTGGTTTAGAGCGTTTCCTCTTCCACCCCTCCTTCTTCCCCTTCGGGGAGGGGTTTACCCCTCCCCCTACCCCCTCCCCACTGACCTGGACAGGAGGGGCGGGGAGCGGTCAGAGCGTCCAAAACGGCCTCGGCGAGGAAGCCCAAATCATTGATTTTACCATGGTTTTGGCCCCATTTTGGCCTTCTGAGGGGGCAGGGCTAATTAAAGCCCCCCTCTTCTTTGATCGATTTCCTCCACGATGGCCGCAAGAGGCCCCCAGGATGCCCCAAGAGGCCGCAGGATGGCCCCAAGATGGTCCCAAGAGGCCCCCCAAGAGGCCCCCAGGAGGCCCCCAAAGGCCCCAAGAGGCCCCAAGAGGCCCCCAGGAGGCCCCAAAGAGGATCCCGAACGGCCCACAGAGGCCCCCCCGAGGCACCCAAGACGCCGAAAAAACCCTCAGGACGACCCTCTACTCGCCTGGGCGTCGTTTCTGGACGGGCTGGTGGGGATACGCGAAGCGTCTAGAATTGCAGTCAACCTGTCTCACGGACAACCTCAAGTCCACTCCTGCCGCGCTCCATCTCAGCTCCTACTCCCCTTCACATATACCCGATGATGGCCTCAACGAGGTTATGCCTTGTCCGGTCTGGATTGTCCCTCGCGCAATGTACCCCGCGCGATTGCCGAAAGAGACTCAATGGCCGAACGTGGGAAGCGCGCTAGTCTACAAGCGCCACCCCTCTTGAAAGGGAATCGGGTGGGACAGATGCACAAGGATGGCGCGCAGGAGCGAGGGGGTACAAATGGGGGAAGACTGGAGTTTTGCAGTGAAAACTTGAATGCCGGCGGCCACAAAGAATGATCGGGCGGTTTTTGTGGCTGTGCGTAACAAGATGTACGCAAACACGGATGTAAATCTGCAGGGTCACTGTCGGCTGCCCAGAGGGTAATCGTCGAATTGCTGACGCTGCGCGCCAATCTAATCGCAGCGCCGCGCCATCCAGTCCATGATGGTAGCGCGCGGTCGACCCTCATTGTGGACGTTGCGCAAATCACATCGCCATATACGCACGCCGGTGCTAAAACGCGATAGCGTGCGCTGGCGCCACCAAGTGCGGCGACGCAACGAATGGTGGCGCCGCGCGACGTACCATGTACAGTGGGCGCGCGGCCGCAAGAAACCGTCGCAAGAAACCCAACCCTGAAAATCTACGAGGTTTCTTGCCCAGGGTCTGGGGTTCTTGGCCAAGGGCTCGAAGCGGAAAAACCCAGGGAACCCTGGCCCGAGGAGTTTCTTCGCGGGTCGCGCTAGAAAATGCGCGAGTAGTAATTTCGCTGTTGACCCTCCGAATCCACGCAGATGCAAGAAATTCAAGGTACCCTCGGCGCAGTGAAGTTTCTTCGGCGTCGGGGCTTTCTCATAATTTCGCGATAGTCCCTCCGACCCCGCGCGGATGTAAGAAATTCAAGGTACCTTCGGCGAGCGGGGTTTCTTCGGTGGTGGGGCACTCTAGCAATTTCGCTGTTGGCCCGAGGCTTCTTCGGTGGCGGGGCGTTGCTTCCGCGAGGTGGAATTCGGAGGAAACCCAAGGTCTCCTGAAGACGGAGAGTTTCTTGACGCCCGCGGGAACCCATCGCGGGCCGCCCGGTGCAAGGGAACCCAAGATGCCCTGACTAAACACATCTGGCTTCTTGGTACGCGCCCTCACTGTATTCCAACCGCGCGCATCGTGCTTTCGTCTAGCCAATATCCAGGAAATAATTCCCAGACTGTGTTTGGACTATTTTCACCGGGACACGAAACATCGCCATAATAATATGTTCCCACTCCTCTTCCCTGCTCATCCTGTAGAGGGACATGCCCGACTTCATGTTGCTCATGGCGAGCTGTGGACGAGAATCTTCAAGGAGCTCACCATACGGATCGGACGCGCAGTCGTGCGTGGCCCTGGCCAGGCCAAGGTCACTCCTGGGCCCAAAACCCGGTGCGCGCTATGCCTGCCACGCGTCCTGTGCCCAGGAACGGCCTGACCTGGATCGGTGCAGCTTGCAACCGCTCGGACGTCCATTTCCCGTGCATTTTTCGGTTTCGTGCGTGTTTTTTTTGCTCGATGGTCCAGGATGGTCCTCGATGGTCCTCGCCGAGAAAAGATGCACAAGTCCGAGCGATAACAGGTGCAGGCGTATGGTTGGCGTCCCCTGGGCCTTGGTGGGAACTCCTGAGGCATCCTCGAGGGCGAACTGTGGCACTCGGGGGCCGCATTCCAGAGGAAGCGAGACCCGGATCGGGCTGCAGAGGGCCGGACGAGAACAAAGGGAATCCGCCGGCCCCCATTGCGGGGACAAGACGCTGCGAGGGTCGAGTGCCATCAGCAGATGCCGACAGGAGCTCCTCGGTCCCAGTCGCAGCTCCAGTGCAGCTTCTGATTTTCAGTCCCCCGTGTTATGCTTGGACTTCCCTCTTGTACTGAAGCTGTTAATGGTCCGCGCGAGGGGGGGAGCCAAAAACCGCCTTCGGTACCACGGCCTCCCGGGGGGGCCCTGAGACACATGAGAAATCTCAGGATTCGAGTCCCCAGGACCAGAACCCCGCGTAAATTACGCATGCTCTCCAGAGGCCACAAGCCATATACTCAATTCCACAAGATTCGCGCCGTCGAGGCTACGACCCTTGGTTACTTACTCTAGATTCGCGCCCCCGAAGCTACGATCCCATACGAATTGCTCCAGATTCGCGCTCCAGCGGCCACGACCCCAGCAAATGTCAGCAGATTCGCACCCCAGAGGCCACGATCCCTTCCCGAGTATCTGAGATTCGCGCCCCCGACGCCACGATTCCTGTGAAAATGATGCGAGACTCGCGGCCCCGAGGCCACGATCCCTTACACATTACGCCAGGTTCGGGCACCCGAAGGCACGAGCCCTCGTAAACTATGCGCGATTCGCGCCCTCGAAACCATCATCCATCCAGTAGAGGGAAACAATTAGTGAACACCTCCCCTGCCCCCCAAACTCAAAGTTGGCACGCGCGGGGTAGACTTCGGTCGAGGTGCAACTCATCAGACCCACCGCCAACTTTGAACATTGGGGGGAGGGGGAGGCGTTCACAGATGAATGTGGCAGGAGTGTTCACTATTTTTTTCCGAGGCCTGTCGTTAACCCATCATGCTCTGCAAGTTACGCAGCGTTCGCGCCCCTGGGGGCCCCGATACCGGGCAAGGTGTACAAGGTTCGCGTACCCCGAGGGCACGACCCTTTGTAAACTACGGTAGGTGCGCGCGCCCTCGAAGCGATACTCCAGGCGATTGCCCGAGATTCGTGCCCCCGAGGCGACGGTCCCTCTGCAAGATTGCTCCCGGCTCGCGCCTCTGAGGCCACGACTTCGTGGGAACAACGTCGCCGTTGCAGGAGGTCCCGATAGTTCTTCTTCAAGTCGGCGCCCAGGCATTCCAACATAGCTCTGGAATGTCCCACTCTGGTAGAGAGGGGGCCGGCGGCAGAGGGCGAAGCCCTTACGGATGCCAAGGCCGATGCCTCATTCAACCAGTCGCAACCTGACCGGGCGACCTGGTGGGTTCGTGTAGTAATCCGATAGGGCCCACCGAAGGCCCGTCTGACAAGAGACGGCTGGCCATGGAATCGAGTACGTACGTATTCGACTTCGAAGGCAGCTCCGGCAAAATCCATCTGGCCTCAGAGAGAACGCGAGAGAGAGAGAGAGATAGAGAGAGAGAGGGCAGGATGATGAAACATTGCCGCGGGAGACCTATCTGCCGAATTGGCGCGTGGCGTCAGGGGTCAGCAGGGACATGTCGAACGGGTGGCGGTGCCCAAGCTTGGCTGGGTCTGGAGCCAGGTGCTTGTGGTAGCATTGGCCTGGATATACTAGAGGCGGCTGCACCATGGGAAGAAACATAAGATAATCGGGGCAAACGTTAGTGGGGGAAAAGCTCAGGGGGAGAACCAGTCACCTGAAATTGGCGATAGGTCCCCATAGCGAAACCGCACGATCTTCGGCGGGGTGGGCTTTTAGGCCTCTATCTGGCGATTGGAGGTCCATGCGTTCGCCGCTGCGCCAATCCCCCCCTAACGTTGCTCCTGACAAAACGGTCAAACTCCGACAGGCCCGTCCCGACACTCCCGCTCGTCCTCCGCCTCATGCTCCTAATCGCCATGCTCATCCCCTGGGAAAGACGACCTTAAGAAGACCGACACGAGCTTCTCTTCTTCAGCGCGCTCGTTGGAAGATCCACTGGCTGAGCAGCCAATCGTCCGAACACCATGGAAATACGACATGTTACAATGACTGAGAAGGCTTGCTCCGAGGCTTACTCTACATCGTCTCTCTCTCTCTCTCTCTGTCTCTCACCCCCACTATACTGGCTCTACTATGCGTGCGCATTGCCTCAAAGTAGCTTCCAGCTTGATTGCTGCTCCGATTGTACCTCAAAGCTGCCTCTGCCCCTCCCATAGGACGCGAGTATGAGTGAGGAGCTGCGACGAAAGTTACACACTCAGACAGAAACAACTCCGCGGACACCGAAACAGTAGCGCAAATACGGTCATGGTCCTATTATTGGCGTGTATGTGATTGCGGGCCCTGCGAAACCGAAGCCGCTGACACGCTAAGCAGCGAAGGGGCGTAGAGGCTAAGTAGGGTCGAGCCAAGCGGCCTTCCGATATATACACGCGGACTACCATCCACGCAGGATGCACGCGAAGTGCGGAGCACTTACCGTGCATAGGCGAATCCCCAGCTACGCGCAAAGAATAGGACCAGGACCGCAGGCGAACCCGAGATCCGACTCCACCGTGGAGCCCCGGGCGGGCCCCGGACCCGTTCGCAGGCTGCCCCGCTCCGCGCCCCATGCCTGCGCCCGCTGGGCCCCGCCTGGACCTCCCCGCTGGGCCCCGCCGCAGTGCAGCGCCCCACCTGGCCGATCCCCCGAGGCCTCCTGCCGAGAGGAGCGGGCGAACGGGGAACCAAAAGGCGGCGGAACGGCCCCGAAGCGGCCAGCACGTGCCTGACATGGAGCGGGTCCCGGCGGGCGCAGAGGGCGCACGCCGACGGAGATGGGCCACGCGTGGGCCAGGCAACTACAGAACGAATGCCATGAAGGGGCCCTGGGACACACAAAGAAATACACACAAGTCACCGGACTCACCATCTTTTCCCAGATGTTCTGGGTTCTGTCCTCCCCCCCCACTTCCCACATTCTCCCGTAGTTTCTGGGGAATCGACGATGACTTGAGTCTGTGTGTTTTGTTCCCCTCCTGCAAAGGGCGGGGCAGAGGGCACCAGCTCCCGCCAAGGCCCCCTGGGACTCTGCAGACCTGCCTTGGCAGGGGGGGTTCGACAACTCGGGGGGGATGGGGGGCACCACCGCGCGGCACTCGCCATCGCTCGGACGTCCATCCCCTGTTTTTTTTCGCTTTCGTGCGTGGCTTTTTCGCAAAATGATCAAGGGTGCTCCTCAATTGTCCTCCCCGAAGGAAACATGCACACGTCCGAGCGATGCCAAGGGCACCATGTCCCCATCTTCGGCGCGGGTGGCCGTTCGGAGCACGGATGCGTGCAGAAGTCACGGGGCGAAGTGTGGTGGCGGCCCCGCTGCAGCCGGGCAGCCTCGATGAACCCCAGCCGCAGGCGAGATGAAGGAGGGCAGGGAGGCAGGCAGAGTGAAAGATAGGGCGAGGAAAGGAGACAAAAATGTGAAGTTGAGCTTGCACGCACAAGTACCGTGCCACGTACACAACCCATGTGCTCTAACAGGCAGGAGGAGCTGGCCCATAATCGTTTCGTCGATGACATTCCTGGATCTGTCATTGGTTCCGCAAGCTAAAGCGCGCGCGCCGCGCGACTCACAGGACAGCAAGAAAGAACGAGGACTGAACCCCCAGGCACGAAAAAAGACATGGGGATAGGAACGACGGGTCGGAAAAGGACGGACGAACGGCCGACCCGCAAACGCCACAACAACAGTGAGACAGCGAAGTAAGAAGAGTACGAACACAAAAGAAGCAGGGAATGGAAAGACGGTGGCGGTCATCTTCTACTGGCACGTTGGACGAGCACCGCGGCCTACGCCATGTCGCTCTGACGCTCCAACGGGTCAGATTTTCACAACTACTGCAAGGAACACAACGGGACCAACCTCGCCCAGCACGTTCTCCGATTCCTTCCTGCACCCTGCAGCGCGAGTTAAACGCCAGCAAGCGCGCCGCCAGGTCGCCTGGACCCGCGGGACGTCACTCCGCTGGACCCCCCCCCCCAGCAGCCCTGGAAAGTGGCGACAATTTCGCGGATCGCACCGCACCTTGGGATGGCGAGGTCTGGTTCAGGTCCGCGTGGGACGTCGTTCCGCTGGACCCGCCAGCAACACTCGAAAATGGCAACCGCTTCGCAAATCACAGCCCCCCCAGGAATGGCGAGGTCGAATTCCAGTCCGTGTGGGACGCCACTCCGCTGGACCCCCCAGTGGCCGTCGAAAGTGACGACAGTTTCGCAGATCGCACCGCAATGTGCTGGCGAGGTCTAATGTAGGTCCGCGTGGGACGGCACTCCGCCGGACCCCGTATAAGCCCTCGAAAAAGGAAGCGGCAACAGTTTCGCACATCGCAGACCCCCCAGGGATGGCGAGATCGAATTTAGGTCCGCGTGAGACGTCACTCCGCTGGACCCCTCAAGGCCCTCGAAAGCGGCGACACTTTCGCAGAGCGCACCGCGATGGGATGGCGAGGTTTCATTCATTTTCTCCGGTGTGGGACGCCGCTTGCTGGACCCACCAACAGCCCTTGAAACTGGCGACGGTTTCGCAAACCGCAGCCCCCCAGGGATGGCGAGATCAAATCCCGGTCCGCGTGGGACTTCCCTCCTGCGGCGTTGGACCCCCCATCGGCCCTCGACAGTGGCGACAGTCTCGCAGACCGCCGCCCGCCAGGGATGGCGAGGTCATGTAGGACGACGACGTAGGAGGGCAGGATGGCAGGCAGGACAAAAGGCAGGATGGCAGGCAGGGTGACAGACAGAAATGGAAAAACAAAAAAAAAGAGGTGGTAAGGAGGAGGTGTGCGACCGCAGTGCTCTATCCAAAACGAGAACCCACCGCATGAGGCTGGGGAGCAACGTGTTAGAACCGCACGCGCGCGCGCGCCACTCCCACAAGCGAGCACGGATGGAGCTGCGTCGACACCGCGATTCCACCGGCGGCGTGCCCCTGGGGGGGGAAGGCGGACGGGGCGGGCCTTCACAGAACGCCCAGGGGGGGGGGAAGGCAGAGGGGGCGGGCCTTCACAGAAGGCTCGGGAGGCCACGGGTCTTCACAGAAGCCCTCCGGTGGCGAGGCCGCAACCGTAGCGGGCCGTGCAGAAGGCCCGAGGGTTTCGCCCGCCGCCTTCTGAAAAAAGGCCTGCCCTCGGGGACCTACTGTTAAGTCGGGCACGTCCCTCTGCAGGAGGAATATGCAAACATATATAAAACAAGCCTGGGGGCGAATACGTATGTATGTATATATATATATATATATATATATATATATATATATATATATATATATATATATATATGTATACATGCACTGTTTGTGTATATATATATAACATATGTATATTCCTAATAATATTTCCGGGGACCCCGGAAAAACGGCACATGGTGCCCCCCCCAAACGAATTTCGGCCTCCCCGAGCCTTTGGGGCGTTCCTGCAGAGTGTTTCGTGTGTGTCCTGCGAGTGCGACGCGAAAAAAAAAACACGACGGCCAAAGAGGGCCCCGAGACACCCGAAGATCGGCCCAAGCGCCCAATCTGGGCCCAAAACTGCCCAAGACGCGTCCAAGACGCCCCCACAGACCCCCAAGAGGCCTCCCAAGAGAGCCCCGAGAGGCTACAATTGTTGATTTTCCTGTGTGTTTTCCGATGTTTTTGGCCTTTTCGTTTTTCCCGGTTCCCGACGCTCCGCAATGGCCCAAGAGGCTCCCCAGATCGCCCCACTACTGCCCAAGAGGCCCCCAAGAAGGCCCCAACGCGGTCCAGGAGGGCTCCGAGACCGCCCAAGAGGCGCCCGAGACGGCCCAGGAGAGCACAAAGACGGCCCCGAGAGAGACCCAAGAGGGCGCCCAAACATTCGAAAACTAAATTTTCCGCCGCGGAAGGGCCCCAAGAGGCCGGGAGAGAGCCCCATGAGGCCCCAAGAGGCCCCCAAGAGGCCCCAAGGAACCCCCAAAAGGCCCCCAAGAGGCCCCACAAAGATCCCAAGAACCCCAAAACACCCCCAATACGCTTCAAAACTGCCTCCCAGAGGGCCCAGAGAGGCGCGCCGCGAGATCCCAACACAGCGGTCTCCCCCTCTCATTATCCCATCTCTTTGTCGTCGCCTTCTTCGTCGTCGTTGTCGTATGTAAACGGCGCAACGAGGCCATTTTCCGTTCAAACCACCGAAGGACCCAAGAACTCCTCCTCCTCTTCCTCATTCTCTTCCTCCTCTACCTCCTCCTCCTCCTTCCCCTAATTCCCCGTGGTGTTTCACGTTCCGCCCCGCCAGAGGTCTAGCAAAAGCAGCTCTCCTCACTATCCCAAGTCTCTGCTGCGGATTTCTTCCGCGACACCTCCACTGCTCCCCAAGTATCCACATAATCTGTCCTCTTCATCCTCTTTCTCCTCTTCATCCTCCTCCTCTTCCTCCTCCTTCTCCTCATCCTCTTCATGTTCCTCCTCCCGCCTCGACTGAGCTTCTCGCAGCACTCAATACAAACCGTCGGGGCCACGACGCCATCTCATCCGGACGCGCTGTTGGGAACCAGGGTTTTTGTGACATTTCGGAAATCAGGCCGTCGGGAACCTTCGGTTTCAGCATGCATTCTGGGGAAACGCTCCCTGGGGACTCACGGCCGCACGAACACTTGCAACGTCCTCCTCCTATTCCTCCTCCTCCTCCTCCTCCTCCTCCTCCTCCTCCTCCTCCTCCTCCTCCTCCTCCTCCTCCTCCTCCTCCTCCTCCTCCTCCGCTTGACTCGCAGAGGGGCCGAGCGGCACCGCGCCGCGCCGCCAGGGACGCGGACAATGGACAAAAAAAAAAGCGGAGAGGGGGGAGAGGAAGAGGAGGAGGAACAGGAGGAGGAGGAGGAGGGGGAGGAGGAGAAAAGGAAAAGGGGAAGGAGGAAGAAGAGATAACGGAAAGTAGTCTAATCGACTTCGCCAGAGATATGCTCGCAACTCCGATCTCAGAGGCGCCTTGCTTCGCATCGGTCCCGCCGTTTTCGCTTGAGACATCATCGCAGCTCTGGGGCCCGAGACACTCTCAGTTGAGGTGTTCCAGCCACTGTCGCCTGAGACACTCTCGCACGTCTCACTTCGGAGGTGCCTTGCACCATGGTGGTTCGGCCACTTTCGCGTGCGACTTCTCGCAACTCTAAGTTCAAGGGTGCCCTGAGCAGAGGTGTTCAGACCATTCCTCGCTTGAAACTTCCTCGCGCGGCTGACTTCGGATATGCCCTCCCCTGAGCGGAGGTGTTCAGGCCATTTTCACCCGGGACGTCCTCGCAACACTGACCTCGGCGACGCACTGTCCCATGGTAGTCTGACCACGTTTGCCTGAGACCCTCGCGCCTTTTTGAGGCGCGATGATACGAGCAGCTGGTCAGGCCACTACCGCCTGATATACGCATGTGTATGCGCACACATAGTTACACTGACCATGTGCATATACATGTACATATCCATACAAACGTGTGTATATATATGTACAGATGTACGATGCATTCATAGACGCATGTGTGTGCGCATGCACGCACGCTCGCACTCCGCTAGCGTACAAAATCCAAAAGACCAAGGTGCATGGCGCGCAGCGCCAATGCAGCCTTGTATATACATATGTATATATATACACAAGACTGCATTGGCGTTTCGCGCCATGCGCCTTGTTCCGGACGCTTCCCTGGCGAAACAATGAATCATCGCTTGCTTCGGCAGGGGGACCTCGAGGCCTGGGCGGGCGACCGGTTCATTTTTCCGATATCCCTGGTGCCTGCTGACACCGCGTTCGGCCGATGCGCTTGCACGCTTGTGCGCAGGAGTTGGGAAGGAACGGCAACTTTTTCACGCGCGAAGGTCCTTTGATGAAGTAAGGAGCACTCCCATGACACGCCGAAGAAGTCGCAGTAGCCCCGAACAAATCGACATTCGGTCGCTTCCTGAATGCCTGGGGGGCTCCAGACACTCAGGAAATCTTCGATCGTCGAACTTCGAATCTCGATCAATTGCCTGTCTGTCTCGATCGAGGAACTGAAACCTCGAGCCTCAAGCGTGGAACCAAGATCGTCGGGTCAACTCGATGTATTTCTTAGGAGAACGCCGTCTGGGCGTTTGGGGGGCTCTTTTGGGCCGTATCGGGGTTCTCTTGGGTCGCCCTGGGTTTTTTTGGGGCGTCTTGGGGAGTTGGGGCCCTGCAGAGGTCTTCTGAAGCCATCTAGGGCCCTCTTGCGGGCCTCCAGTGCCCTCTTGGAGGTATCCCATGGATTTCGTGAATCTCTCTTGGGAGCCTTCTGGGGGCATCTTGGGCTTCTTGTGGGCAGTCTCGGGGCTATCTGGGGCAGTCTTGGGGCCCTCTTGTCTTCAACCCTCTGGGGGGCCTCTTGGGCCGTCTTGGGGCGATATCGGGGGCCTATTGGGCCGTCTTGGACGCTGCGAATACCCCAAAAGCAGATATGCAAACAAACAAATATTTCCTGAGGGAATGGGGCGATTCTGGCTTCTTCGGGTCTCTCTTAACGGCCTCTTGGGGTGTCTTGGGGGCCTCTTGGGCCGTCTTCACACCATCGAGGTTCCTCTTGGAGCGCTCTTGTGCTGTCTTGGGTATCTCTTGCGCCTCTCCGACGACCCTTCTGATCGCCTTGAGTCGGCTCGCAAGATCCAGCAAGGCGCCCTGGGAGGCTCGGAAGGGCCACCGAACGATTTCCAAGGGCGTCCAAAGTGCCGCCGAGACGTCCGAAAGGGCGTCCCGAGCGTCCCTGGGGGGGGGGGGTCCGGTTCAGGGGGGAGGTAGGGGGGGACCCAGGTCATAAACACACATAAGAATAGGAAAATTAACAATAATCGCTGACCGAAATAGACCGCAGGGCGATGAAAGCAGAAACCTGCAGTAGCACTGGACTCGGGTAAAGGGGAAGGGAGGAGGAGGAGGAGGAAGAGGAGAGGCCGCCTGCGGGACTAGAGAAAACATCTTGTGAGGTAACTGGGGGCCTCTTGGGGGATCGTCTGGGGGTCGGGGCCTCCATTCAACTCCTCTCCTCAGCTCTTCCTCCTCCTCCTCCTCCTCCTCCTCACTTTCCATTCCTCCTTTCTGCTTTCTGTTCCCAGTTATTTCTCCGTTTCCTCCCATGTCTTCCTCACTCCTCCTCCTCCTCCTCCTCCTCCTCCTCCTCCTCCTCCTCCTCCTTCTTTCTCCTCCTGCTTCTTTCTCCTCCGTCCTCCTCCTCCTCCTCCTCCTCCTCCTCCTCCTCCTCCTCCTCCTCCTCCTCCCCTCTTCCTCCCCCCCCTTTCCTCAGTCTGCCTCTTTCCCCTCCCTCCTCCTCCTCCCCATCTCCTTTTCCCACTCCCTCATCTTCGTCCGCCCTCGTCGTCCTCCCCCCGCCCCTCCCTCCGCCGCCCCTGCCCCCTCTCCTCCCCCGTCCGCCCCCCCTCTCCAGCCTATGACGCTGCTCGAGGTGGAGAACGCGGCGTTCATCATGTAGGGCGCGGGGTCGCGCAGCATCGACCGCCGGAGATTGCTGGGGTGGCTCCTGCCGTGACGGCGCCGGAGAAACGGGGGGGGGGGGCGTCGTCGGCGGGGGACGTCGAATGAGGCGGAACACACAGACCTAGAGGAGGAGGAGGAGGAGGAGGAGGAGGAGGAGGAGGAGGAGGAGGAGCGCCAATCCCAGCAGGGGAGGAGGCGGGCCAGCAGCAAGGGCAGCGAGGAACGGGAAGAGTCCGAGGTCCCACACTACCCCTGGAGAGCGGCTCCCGTGTAGAGCCCCTTCACAGATGCAGTCGGCCTGGAAATGGCTCGGATCCCCCCGCTCGCATGATTATCTTAGCGACTTCGGCCCCACGGAGGCCTTTGTCTCTAATGCACTGCTGAACGCTAAGCAAGAGATCGCTGGCAACACCCTCAGAACACAACGCGCTACAGGCAGAGATCGGGATGCAACCTAGAACAACAGCTCGAACAACGGACCACAACCCCAGCCACGATTCAAGAAAAGGAGGAGGGCTTTCACAATGGACACGATCATCAGGCAAATCACGTAATGGTCCAACGCATCTCCACTCATATCCCACCAGCCCTCTGGGCGCAGGTGATCTAACGATATCATCAGTTCCTCTTCCAAAAGCTCCTTCTTCCCCTTCGGGGAGGGGTTTATCACTGTTCCCTACTAATATACACCCCGTCCCCCAGGCGACTGGGAGCCAACCCGAGTCCATGAGGGCCCCCCCCACCATCCCTTGTTAAACATACAAAACACACTCTGCCTCCAAATTCGGAGCATGCGCAGCGAACCCGACGCGGCCTCCCCCCACCATCCTTGTCAAAAAACAATACAGAGTGGCGGCGGCTGCGGCGGCTGCGGCGGGGGCAGCGGCAGCGGCGGCTGCGGCGGTGGCAGCGGCGGTGGCGGCGGCGGCGGCGGCGGGGGCGGCGGCGGCGGTGGCGGCGCCGGCGGCGGCAGTGGCGGCGGCGGCGGCGACGGCGGCGGCGGCAGCAGCTGCGGCGGCAGCGGCTGCGGCTGCGGCGATTCGGCAGCGGGGGCGGCGGCAGCGGGGGCGGCGGCCGGCGGCGCGGTGGCGGCGGTGGCGGACAGCGGCGGCGGCGGCGGCGGCGGCGGCGGCGCGGCGGCGGCGGCGGGCGGCGGCGGCGGCGCCGCCCCCAGTAGCTGCCCATCCAAAGACGACTATTGCATATGCTGCTGCTCGGGCCAGGCTCGGGTGCTACGTATGTGTTGGGAGGGCGGGTGAGAGTGAGCGAGACGGCTTGCGGGCGGGAAGGTGTTTTGACCCCTCCCCCTCCCCCCTCCCCTCGACCTGGACGGGGGGGGCGCGAGTCATCAGAGGGTCTTTTTGGCTCAAAACTGCTCCAAGAGTGCCTATGATGCTCCGAGATGGCCTCCAAGATGGCTCGAGATAGCGCAAGGTCGCTCGATATGACTTCCATCATGCCTCCAAGAGGCACCACGAGGGCCACAAGACGGTTCCACGTGCTTTCTGAGCTCTCTCGGGGCCTCCCCGAAAGCCAACATCCTCCGAAAACCAAAGTAAAATCCGCCGGCCCCCTTGTGGGGCCACCAGGCTGTAGGCGCAGGTTCGCAGTTTCCTGTACCAGTTGTAGCTTGTAGTTTCCAGTGTTACAGTTCTGCGTCTTGCTGGTTACTGTAACTACTTGATTGACCGCGCGAGGGGGGGGGAGGCCCAAACCAGATATTTAGCACCTCCTGGGCGCGTTGTCTGAATTGCTGGGGGGGCTCGAAATCGACACCCCTCACACAGATCGGCGGGGTCAGGGTCCAAAAACACAGTGGATTTGCCACATTTCTGAAATTCGGTGGCACCCCTCACGCAGATCCGCGGGGTCAGGGTCCAAAAACACATGGGATTTGCCACATTTCTGAAATTCGGTGCCACCCCTCACGCAGATCCGCGGGGTCAGGGTCCAAAAACACAGGGGATTTGCCACATTTCTGAAATTCGGTGCCACCCCTCACGCAGATCCGCGGGGTCAGGGTCCAAAAACACATGGGATTTGCCACATTTCTGAAATTCGGTGCCACCCCTCACGCAGATCCGCGGGGTCAGGGTCCAAAAACACAGGGATTTGCCACATTTCTGAAATTCGGTGCCACCCCTCACGCAGATCCGCGGGGTCAGGGTCCAAAAACACAGGGATTTGCCACATTTCTGAAATTCGGTGCCACCCCTCACGCAGATCCGCGGGGTCAGGGTCCAAAAACACAGGGATTTGCCACATTTCTGAAATTCGGTGCCACCCCTCACGCAGATCCGCGGGGTCAGGGTCCAAAAACACATGGGATTTGCCACATTTCTGAAATTCGGTGCCACCCCTCACGCAGATCCGCGGGGTCAGGGTCCAAAAACACAGGGGATTTGCCACATTTCTGAAATTCGGCGCCACCCCTTACGCAGATCCGCGGGGTCAGGGTTCAAAAACACAGGGGATTTAGCTCATTTCTGAAATTCGGTGCCACCCTTCACGCACATCCATCGCAAGGCGTGGTAACCCAAACTGCGAGAACTCCCTCGGCCCTTTAATCGCAAGGTGTGGTAACCAAGCATACACGTATCGCCAGGTGTGGTAACCCCTCTTGTGATCAGTTGGTTTTGCTGATTGCGAACCGGCTTCGCAGGAAGTCCCGATACTGCTTCACGACAGCGCCAAGGCCTCATGACTTAGCTCTTCCATGGCCCATTCTCCGAGAGAGGGGGCAAGGGGGCAGGGGGCGAAGCCCTTACGGATCAATGATGTGTGCCTTCTCGCCTTGTCGCTTCCGATATGCTTCAGAAGCCTCAAGATGGCCTCAAGATGGCCTAAGAAAGCTCCAAGAGAGGCCCAAAAAGGCCCCTAAGACGGCCCCGAGAGCGTCCAAGATCGCCCCAAAAGCGCCCCAAGAGGGCCCCTGAGAGGCCAAGTTTTGGGCCTCGGAGGGGGGACGCCGTAGGAACTCCCCTCCTTAGATCAATGGCCTCCAACATGGCCCCAGGAAACGCTCCATAGCCCCCACGAGGGCCCCAATACGCCCCCCAAAGCACCCAAGAGGGCCCCAAGACGCCCCGAAAGAATCCCAAGATGGTCCCAAGACAACCCCCCAAAGAGTCCCAAAAGGGCCCTAAGAAGCCCCCCGAAGAGAGTCTCAAGAGAACCCTAAGACCTCCGAAAGCAACCCCAATCAAGAGGCCCCCCCGAGGCACCCAAGACGCACAAAAGCCCCCTGGACCGCCAACGGACCCCCAACACGCCCAAGAGGCCTCAAAGAGGTGCGCAAGATACATCCCCAAAGGCCCCCCTGGTTTGCTCGCCCTCCTCCTCCTTCCTCTTCCTCCTCCTCCTCCTCCTCCTCCTCCTCCTCCTCCTCTTCCTCCTCCTCCTCCCCCTCCTATTCATCATCCATTTCCCTCCTTCCACATCCAATCCTTCATCCATCTATCCATCCTCCTTCGCCTGCTCCTTCGAAAGGTTCTGCTGTCCCCCCCTCTGCTCCTGCAAGTCCCAAATAACCTCAACTTGCATGGGCGTCGGTTCTGGATGGGCTGGTGGGGATACTTTTTGGTCAACGGCCGCGGGCGGAAGCGCCGGCGGCGTGTCAAGTCGAAGCGGGCACGCGCCACAGACTGATTAACAGCAGAAAACTGGGGCACAGTACTGCCAGAGTGCGCATGCAAGAGGCCGAGGCGGAAACGGCAAGAGAAACGCGGGAAAACTAACAGAGCGACGGGCGAGGCGACAACTAAGCGCGGCAAAAGCCTCAGGGGAGGGCTGCCGGGGCTGAGCTGAGGGGAGCTGCCGTGTGCACAGCAGCAAGTCAGTCGGGCGTCACGCGTCGGGCCGGTGGGGGTACGCGATCCGTCAACAATTCTGGCATCCCCACATGTACCCCGGCGCCCCTCCACAACACCCTAGTCGTATTCTACCCGTTACACCTCGTCTTTAACATGTTGAACCTATATGCGCGGGAGCTTACTGGCGACTAGCTGCAGGCGGACGAACATGAGCTGCGCACTGCTCAGGGACAGCTCTGGTACTCAGTACCTCAGCCTAAGGGGCAGCAGGTGCACAGGGATCACGTTCGACGACGAGTGCAGGACACGGATCCAGCTGCACAGGGTTCCGCCAGCAGTCCAGGAATAGGCTCAAGAGATCTCATCGTCCTCCGACTGTGCGTGAATATGGATTGCACAAACAGCGGGTTCCACTCGTAGGTAACGAATGCTTCCCCAGACTCCACCAGATCATGATCAACCTCCTGGAGCTCACGATACTCGGGGGAGGAGGCGGCGGCCTTGGCCACCAACTCCAGAGACAGAACATAGCAATTATATCCAAAGCTTCGAGAAAAGGTGAAGTATAGCACAAGAGATCGGATTGTTGGGTGCCGCCATCTGCCTCTGGACGCACCTGCGCTCGATTCTTAAATGTCCTCTCTGGGCGGGTACATCTGACCCTCGAAACCCAGCGTTGAGAAACACTACCGGCTGTAGCCGAACACGTACTGGTGGAGGTTCAGCTCTGGCCCTTTCGGTCTGGATGTGCGAGTTCCGAAGGATTTGCCAGGAGCCATCCAAGAGAACGTGCGCCGATCCGCCCCGACGACTATACCCGTACTTCTCAAAAGTCTGAACCAACAATCCCCTCACGTTCACGCTCTGGTCCGTGAATCTCCTCTTGACCTCCGAAAATTCAAAGCCACTAGGAAGAACATGGAAGAACGATGACGGTCTCAACAATTGTCGTAGCAACGTTCGTGTGCATGCCGTCGCTTCAGCGCTCTGGGTGAGAATTATAAAGAACGGTGCCCAAGAAGGTGAACTGTTCCCCGGCCGATAGCAGCACGCATGACTTTGAGGATGAGGACGATGTTGGTGATGAGGACGATGTTGGTGATGATGGTGATGATGAGAGAGATGGGAAGGAGCAGGAGAGATAGGCGCAGTAGTAGCAGTAGTAGTAGTAGTAATAGTAAAAATAGTAATAGTAGTAGTAGTAGTAGTAGTAGTAGTAGTAGTAGTAGTAGTAGTAGCAATATCAATAGTAGTAGTAGTGGTAGTAGTAGTAGTTGTAGTAGTAGTAGTAGTAGTAATAATGGTAGTAGAAATGGTAGTGGTAGTAGTAGTAGTAGTAGTAGTAGTAGTCGTAATTGTAGTCGTAGAATTAGTAGTGGTGGTAGTAGAAAAATGTAGTAGTGGCAATAATGGTAGTATCGATCGTAGTAACATTATTGGTAGTAGTAGTAGTAGTAGTCGTAGTCGTAGTAGTAGTAGTAGTAGTAGTAGTAGTAGTAATAGTAGTAGTAGTAACCATCGTCGTCGTAGTAGTAGTCGTAGTAGTAGTAGTAGTAGTTTGAAAAAGTAGTAGTAGTAGCAGTAGTAGTCGAAGTAGCAGTAGTAGTAGTAGTAGTAGCAGTAGCAGTACTAATAAAGGTAGTCTTAGTAATAGTCGTCGAAGTAGTAATAGTAGTAGTAGTAGTAGTAGTAGTAGTAGTAGTAGTAGTAGTACTTGTAGTCGTACTAGTAGTAGTAGTCGTAGTAGTAGTAGTAGTAGTAGTAACAGTAGTAGTAGTAGTAGTAGTAGTAGTAGTAGTAGTAGTAGTATTAGTAGTAGTAGTAGTAGTAGTGGTGGTGGTGGTGGTAGTAGAAATGAAGTCATAGTAGTCGTAGTAGCAGTAGCAGTAGTAGTAAAATGGTATGGGCGGTAGGAATATTAGTCGTAGTAGTAGTAGATGTAGTAGTTGTTGTAATCATGGTAGACATGGTGGTAGTAGAAGTAGTAGTAGTAGTCGTAGTAGTAGTAGTCGTAGTAGTAGTAGTAGTAGTAGTAACAGTAGTAGTAATAGTCGTAGTAGTAGTAGTAGTAGTAGTAGTAGTAGCAGTGGTAGTAGAGTAGTGGTGGTAGCAGTATTGAAGTGATAGTAGTAGTAGTAGTAGTCGTAGTAGTAGTAGTAGTAGTAGTAGCAGTAGCAGTAGCAGTAGCAGTAGCAGTAGTAGTAGTAGTAGTAGTCATAATGGTAGTGGCGGTAGAAATATGACTAGTAGTAGTAGTACCCGTAGTAGTTGTTGTAATTATTGTAGGCATGGTGGTAGTAGTAGTAGTAGTAGTAGTAGTAGTTCTGGGAATAGTGATATGAGTAGAAGCACACGTAGTAGTGGTGATAGTAGTTGTAGTAGTAATAGTAAAAGTAGTAGTAGTAGTAGTAGTAGTAGTGGTAGTAGCACTCGTCGTAGTAGTAGTAGTAGTAGTAGTAGTAGTAGTAGTAGTCGTAGCAGTGGTAGTAGTATTCGTAGTCGTAGTAATCACGACAAATTGTAATCGTACAAATGATTGTAGTAGTGGTACTAGGAGTAGTAGTACCAGTAGCAGTAGCCGTAGCAGCAGTAGTAGTAGTAGTAGTAGTACTAGGAATAGACGTACTAGTCGCGGCAGTAGTAGTAGTGGTAATCGTAGCAGTAGTAGTAGCAATGGTAGTAGTAGTTGTAGTCGTAGTAGTTATAGGAGTAGCATTCGTAATAATAGTAGTAGTAGTAGTAGCAGCAGGGGTAGTAGTAGTAATAGTAGTAGTAGCAGTCGTACTAGAAATAATAGTATAGTGGTACTAGTAATAGTAATAACAGTAGTAGCAGTAGTAGTGGTGGTAGCAGAAGTAGTCGTAGCAATAATAAACTCAGTAATAGTAGGTGCAGTGGTACTAGTAGGAAGTAGTAGTAGTAGTAGTAGTAGTCGCAATAGTAGTAGTAGTAGTCGCAGTAGTAGTAGTAGTAGTAGTAGTAGTAGTGATAGTAGAAGTAGTAGTCATAGTAATACTATTAATGCTGGTAATAGTAGCAATAGTAGTAGTACAAGCAGTAGTAGTCGCAGTAGTAGTGGTAGTCGTAGTAGTAGTAGCAGTCGTACTAGCAGGCGCCGTGATTGTGGTAGTAGTAGTCGTAGCGGTGGTCGTAGGAGTAATAATCGTAGTGGGGATGGGAAAAGTAATAACAGTAGTAATAGCAATAGCAGCAGTGATAGTCGTAGTCGTAGTAGTAGTAGTAGTAGTAGTGGTAGTTGTAGTAGTAGTAGTAGTCGTAGTAGTAGTAGTAGTAGTAGTAGTAGTGGTAGTAGTAATAGTAGTAGTAGTAGCAATAGTAGCAGTACCAATAGTAATCGAAGTCGTGAACGTGGGTAGTGGTAGTAATAGTAGGAGTAGTGGTAGGGGTAATGGTAGTAGTAGCCGCAGTGGTAGTAGTAGTAGTAGTAGTAGTAGTAGTAGTAGTGGTAGTAGTAGTAGTAATAGTAGTAGTAATAGTAGCAGTAGTCGTGGTAGTAGTAGGTCGTAATAGTAGTAGAAATGGTAGTAGTAGTAGTAGTAGTAGTGGTAGTAGTAGTAGTAGTAGTAGTAGTTGAGATAGGTGTGGTAGTAGTGGTAGTAGTAGTCGTAGTAGAAGGAGTAGTAGTAGTAGTAGTAGTAGAAAGAGTAGTAGTAGTAGTAAAAGCAGCAGGGGCAGTCGTAGTGGTAGCAATAGTGGTAGTATGTAGCAGTAGTAGTAGTAGTAGTAGTAGTAGTAGTGGTAGTAGAAGTACTACTACTACTACTACTACTAGCAGTAATAATAGTAGTAGTAGCAGAAATAGTATCAGTGGTAGTAACAATAGTAGTAGTACCAGTAGTAGTGGTTGTAATAGTAGTAGTAGCCTTCGCGGTACTAGTAGCAGTAGTAGCAATCATAGTCGTAGTAGTAGTCATGGCAGTAGCAGTAGTAGTAGTAGTAGTAGTAGTAGTAGTAAAAAGTAGTCGTAGGAGTACTGGTAGTAATAGTGGGAGTTGAACTAGTAGCAGTAGCAGTATCAGTGGTAATCGTAATAGTGGTAGTAGTAGTAGCAGCAGTAGTAGTAGTAGTCGTAGTAGTACTCGTAATAATAGTAGTAGTAGAAGCAGTAGTAGTAGTACCAATAGTAGTGATAGTAGTAGTAGTACTAGTAGTAGTAGCAGTAGTCGTAGTAGTGATAGCAGTAGCAGAAATAGTAGCGGTGGTGGTCGTAGTAGTAGTAGTAGTAGTAGTAGTAGTAAGAGAAGTAGAAGTAGAAGTAGAAGTAGTAGTCGTCGTCGTAGTCGTAGTAGTAGTCGTAATAGTAGTAGTCGTAGAGGTAGTAGTAGTAGTAGTAATAATAATAATGGTAGTAGTGGTAGTAGGAAAGTAGTAGTAGTAGTAGTAGTACTCGTAGTAGTAGTAGTAGTAGTAGTAGTAGTAGTAGTAGTAATAGTAGTAGTAGTAGTAGTTCTAGTACTAGTAGTAGTAGTAGTAGTAGTAGTAGTAGTAGTAGTAGTAGTAGTAGTAGTAGTAGTAGTAATAGTGGTAGTGGTGATAGTGGTAGTAGTAGTACTAGTAGTGGTAAAAGGTGTAGTAGTAGTAGTGGTAGTACGAGTGGTAGTAGTAGCAGTAGTAGTAGTGGTAGTAGTAGTAGCAGTCGTAGTAGTAGTAGTAGTAATGGTAGTGGCGGTAGAAATAGTAGTAGTAGTAGTAATAGTAGTAGTAGTAGTAGCAGTAGTAGGAATGGTAGTAGTAGTAGTAGTAGCAGTAGTAGTAGTAGTAGTAGTTGTAGTAGTAGTAGTAGTGGTGGTCGTATTAATAGTAGTAGTAGTAGTAGTAGTAGTAGTAGTAGTAGTAGCAGTGGTAGTAGCAGTAGCAGTAGCAGTAGCAGTAGTAGTAATAGTAGTAGTAGTAGTAGTAGTAGTAGTCGTCGTAGTAGTTGTAATCATGGAAAACGTGGTGGTAGTGCTAGTAGTATCAGTAGTTGTTGTACTTGTTGTTGTAGGGGAGCGAAAAAGGAGGAGGAAGAATGGAGGGAGGAGGAGTGGGGGAGGGATTCCGAAATTATCCTTGCGAAGGTTCCAACCATATGCAACTGTGGGTACCGCAATTGTGAATCTCTTCTTCGGCGAAGCTCCCTATAGGGCCACGAAGCGCTGCACTGGTTGGGGGGGAACGCATGCGGGCGGTAGCACTAGGGCCGTCGGTGGAGTTCCCTATGGGGCCACGAAACGCTGTACTGGGTTGGTGAAAAATACCAAATTGGGTGTGCGGGACGTCCCCCGCTCGTCCTCCTCCTCCCCGGGAAAAAAAAACCGTCCTCCTCCCCCGTCCTGCCCCGCCTGGAGCCCCCGCCAAATCCCCCGTCCTCCTCCCCCGTCCTCCTCCCCCGCCCTCCTCCCCCGCCTGCCACTCCTCTCGCCCCCGCCTCCCCCGCCTGGAGCCCCCCCCCAAATGCTCCCCCCCCGCTCGCGGGGCGGCAGGCCCCGGCTCCTCAGGTCCGGCAGGCTGGCGGAGTTGCTGGTGGCTCGCTTGAGCGCGTGGGTGTGGTCTGCGGTCGGGGGGCGGGAGCTGAAGTGCACGTCGTTCATGCGAGGGCCTCGCATGAACGACCGCCTCGCAGCGAGGCGGGGATTTTTACACATCCACCGCCTGGGAGTCGACGTCTGGGTACCCAAGCGGGCGGTGGGTATGGATATACATTTCGGCCCCCGGGGGCCCGAATGTGTCCGTATCCACCGCCTGCCGAGGCTCCGAAAACTGACCCTCCAGCCAGTGGTCATGTATAAATTCCCGACTCGGGTGCACGTCGCCCATTTCTAATCATGCCCATTTCTAACTCCGCTGGTTTCTACTCGTTCTTGGCCCCCTAACTAGAGGCCAGGAAGAGGCCCAGGATAGAACCATTGGACGCGAGAGGATCTCGGCCCCACCAAAAAAGTCAGAGAACTTTCGAAGAATCTTCAACGTGAACAGCGTGGTGGCAGAAGCAGAGGGGAAGCGGCACCACCACCGGCGCGAGGCGCCAGGGGAGGCGTTCCCGGTGGCGCGGGGTGCCCCCTCCCCGCTCGAGGCACCCCGGACTCCCCGCTCGGGGGAGGCCTCGCGGCCCTCCTCGCCGGAGGTGGCGGTGTCGAGCGCTGTCCCCCCGAGGGGGGTGGAGCCGAAGTGGAGGAGGCACAGTCTGCATGCAGCCGAACACAGGATCGAGAGAAGAAGTAGTCACGAAGCCTGGGCCAGCCTTCCAGGAGTCTCTCAGGACAAGCCTGGGCCAGGTGCTCGAGCTAACGCTGGAAGGGGCGAGCGTGCTCAAGAAGCTGGGCCCGCTTCCTGGCAAGTTGGCTAAGAAACATTGGCCCAACTTTTCGGAAGGAGGTTTCTTAATCATATGCTCGACCGTATACACACCGTCGGAGGTCCATGCGGATGTCTTGGATTGGTTCGCGCGCCACCAACGCCGATCCGAGAAATCCGCGCGGACGTCCATTCTGCTACATGTGTGTAAATGTTCTTCTTCGATGGAAGGGGGGTGGAAGGGGTCCAAGTGTTTCGCGGCAGCCGCGGTCAGCGACCTAGCGTGGAGAGGAACGGGGGGACGGGATAGGGCAAGCATCGCGTCCGAGAGCGGCGTGCACGACAGGCAGGTGCTTCCCTACCAAACAGCAGACGCTGCGCTGATGATGCAAAGAAATTGCCAGCTGCCCAACTGAGGGAAATGGACCACCACCATGCTACAGTCGAAACGCTGTCATGAGAAACCCTGAATAAGGAACGAGGCCTTGATTTTCCATAAGTTACATTTCGATTCCCCACAGAAGACCGAAGGACAATCCAAGACAAACGACATAGCATCTAAGGAACATCGGGCTCCTCCCAAACGAAAAGGTTTCTTCTTCAGCGGCCCGACTGCACGCTCCGGCCACGAAGGAGAAAAAAGAGAAAGCAAGGGCGCCGAGGAGGGGGACACCGCTGGTTACGCCGACAACTGGTTTCGCCCGGCTGGTTTCTCCTGGCTGGTTTCGCCGCCCGGCGAAACCAGCTGGCGAAAACAGTTTCCGTCGGCGAAACCAGCTGTCGTCGCGAAACCAGCTGCCGTCGGCGAAACTGCCCGATCCGACCCACCCGCTAGGGTCTGCCCGCCCGACCCGACCCGACCGTTCAGGTTCGCGCGTGCTCGGTCGAGCGTGCCCCACACTTTAATGTCCCGCCCGCCCGACCCGACCCGCCCGCTCGGGTCCGCCCGCCTGGGCCGACCCGCCCGTTAGGGTTCGCGCGTGTTCGGCCGAGCGCGCCCCACACTTTAATGTCCCGCCCGCCCGACCCGACCCGCCCGATAAGGTCCGCCCGCCCGACCCGACCCGCCCGCTCGAGGGCGAGCCTAGACGGCCAAAGCGGCCCAGGACAAGATAGACAAGACCTCGCTCCTAGCCTGGGATAGCCAAGTGGGACACAACTTGTGCAGACTCACAGCTGTACCCCAAGCTCATACAAACAAGCGTGATGAAAACCCACCGCTGCGCGTGTACAAACAACTGCAGGTGGGTAGGGAGCAACGTCCCGCCTCATGATGATGTCGATACCAGCCACGAGGGGATGAGCAAGAGGATGAGGGCGGAGGAGGCGACGAGAGAGAGGGGGGAGGAATGGTGCTGTAGGAAGGACGACTGCCTGGCTGCCTTCACTCACGCCCTAATGACCTGCCCTGTTCGACCGACTGTATTTCCCGCAAGATCATTGCGCGCGCCGCACAGGCGACGCGCCTCTATGGTCTGGGCTGTGAGGATCCCAGCGCGGTGCGGTGACCTCAAAAGCCCTCAAACAAAACCCACCGCACGCTCAGTCATCGCGCGTTCTGGGCTGCTTACTTCGGGGGCTCTGGGCGTAGGTCGGGCGTGTCCTCCTACAGGCGGAGTTTGGGCGACAAATGGAAAATAGTCAGAAAATGCACCAAAATAGTCAAAAATGGTAGAAACATAACTCCAATATTGATATTTTACTATTTTTGAATTTTCCTCCTGTAGAGGGGCGTGCTCGACTTACTTCCAGGCGCCCGAGACATCCTCGGAGAACGACCCGAGTCCCAAAACGGTCCGCTGACCTCGAATCACCTTTGACTCGTCGGGTGGGTTTGAGCACCGGACCGTTTGGGGGGCCCGGGGGCGGCCCGGCTCAGCCAATTTGAAAGAAGGCTGCACCGCATGTCTGTTGGGGGGCGTTCCAAAGCCCGGCCCAGAGCATCTGTAAGGCCACCTCGGGGGCCGCGAGCGGATCCGAAACCCGGCTCGGCCAAGATCCCGCTTTGCATGCTCCTGCAGGATCTCTGTGGCATATTCGGGGGGCCTTGTCTGTCCCCATCGCGCCGCTATCCGCGTCGAGCCCGCGTCCAATCCACGTCGAATCTACGAATCCACGTCGAATCCGTGTCGACGCCGTGTCGAATCCGAACTCGTGTCGAGTGCGTAGCACCCCGCAGATGCGGATAAGAGTGAGGGGGCGGTGGGGACGTCGGCAGTTTGCGAGACTCTGGAGAAGCCAGCCGCAAGCGCCAAAGTCTCACAAATTATACAACGAGCCCGCCGCAGGCACCAATTTTTTCGTGAAACCAATGTGGGTAGGTCGCGGGTAGGTCGCAAATTGGTCGCGGGTGGGTCGCTGTTGAGTCGCGGGTTGGGCGCGGGTGGGTCGCGGGGTGGGTCGCGGGGTGGGTCGCAAGTGGGTCGCCAGTGGGCCGCGGGTGGGTCGCGGATGGGTCGCGGGGTGGGTCGAGGGTGGGTCGCGGGGTGGGTCGCGGGTGGATCGCGGGGTGGGTCGCGGGTGGGTCGCGGAGTGGGTCGCGGGTGGGTCGCGGGTTGGGTCGCGGGTGGGCCGCGGGGTGGGTTGCGGGGTGGATCGCGGGGTGGGTCGTGGGGTTGGTCGCTGGGTGGGTCGTGGGTGGGTCGCGGGTGGGACGACGACAACACACAAACAAACAAACAAACAAACAAACAAACAAATAAACAAACAAACAAACAAACAAACAAACAGAACAAACAGCAAACAACAAACAACAAACAACAAACAACACACAACAAACAACGAACAACAAACACAACAACAACAACCACAACAACAACAACAACAACAACAACTACAACAACAACAACAACAACAACAACGACAACCACCACAGCAACAACAACAGCAGCAACAACAACAACGCAACAAGCAGGATCCTCAGCCACGCACCCAAGGACAATGAATGATCGTTCGGCCCCCTCACTCTGACCCATTGGACATACGTCGGACGCCAGGCAATGACCGACATTTGAAGGACAGACGGGGTCCACCGAAATTGCAATGTCACAGGATCTGGCGCTCTGGTTAAGCCCTGTTTGCGCTGAACGCCGTTACCTGCTGGCTGACTGAGGCCTCCCAGATGGGGTCCGAGCAGATGTGGTCGGAGGATCGCGCTGCATCGCCGATGCATCGGCGATGCGTCGGCGACGTTGGCGATGCATCGGCGCCATCGGCGTGGATAAAATCGGCCTCCACCTCGAGCCGCATCGACGATGCATCGCCGATGCATCGAAGATGCGGCGCGATCCCTCGACCCTACGGTGGAGGGAAACAATTATTGGACTCTCCCTTTCTCTCTCAAGCTCAAAGTTGGCACGCGCGGAGGAGACTGCGGTAGCAGTGCAGCTCATCGGACCCAGCGCCAACTTTGAACACCGGGGGGAGGGGGAGGCGTCGGCCGATGAATGTGTCACGAACGTTCGCTGAATTTGTCCGAGACCCGCCTCTGCTCCGAGCCCATCTGGGAGGCCTACAGTCGGGCCGCTGAAAGAAGGAACGCTAAATGAGGAACGAAGCCCCTTCTTGGCCCTGTAAGCGCCTCCGTGCCCCAGGAGGGCAAGAGGAACAGCACTGGAACTAAGGAACATCGAGCCCCTTCCGGACCCAAACTGTTCCTTATTTCAGCGTCTTGGCTGTAGGCTGACAAGCCTCACCGCGGCGGCGTCTGGGTTGCACCACGGCGGGCCGGGCCGCGCGGTCCGACGGGGCGCCGCGCCCAGAGGGCGTCGCGTGCGGCCTGACCGGGGGTCGCACAGGTGCTTGGAGCCAATCTTAGTGTAGTGCGAGTGGGAGTCCATCACGAGGCCGTCCTGCGCGCGGGGCGGGACCTCATCCACAACCACCGCCTGGGGGTTAGATCTTCGGGAACCTCGGCAGGCGGCGAAGATGGAAATATTCGCCCCCCCCGCCCCGGGGGCCCGGATACATGCACTGTATATTTATACATATAAATGTATATGTATGTATATATATATATACATACATACATACAAGTGGCATGTGCGTGCCCAGGCTCATGCAAAAACAACTGCAGCATGTGCAGAAACATCGCAGGAAATTGACAAGAAGAGGAATCTGAAGTCAGATCTGAGGAGGAAGAAGGAGATGGAGAAGCAGAGGAACACGGAGAGGAGGATTATCAGAATCACCAGGGAGCTGCTGGGAAGGAGATGCAACAGCGGGACCGCAATCGAACGCAGGTGGGGTTGCCACACCTTGCGATGCGTGTGGCGCAGGAGGTTTTTCCACACCTTGAGACTGCAGTTGAAAAGAAGCTCCGAAACCAATGTTTGGAAGATGTCTCGAGCGAGACTGCCGGTTTGAAAAAGAGGAAGACAACTTTGAATACGATTTCAATTCGGGGGGACGTCTCATGCGAAACGGCTGTTACTCTAAGAGCGACGCCCCCAACCATTGAACACAATTGTGGTTTCGAAAATTGTATATTACATGATTGAGCAAGGCTCTGTTTTTTTAACTGCGATTTCGCTATATGCGTGAGGGGTGCGTCCGAATTTCAGAATGCCGAGCGCGTCCCATACGAAACAGCCGGAAACGTCTCGAACGGGACGGGGCCCTTAGTGCATCGGCTCTGATCTCTACTCCCTCCCGCCCCCTTGGACCCCTGCTCCCGTGGAAAACCGCAGGCGCTGCCAGGGTATGCGGGGAGGGTGCGCCGTACCCTAGCATTTATATACATATATATATATATATATGTATGCACATACATAGTGTTACCCTCAGGTGGAAATGTATGTTTTCTTTGATTTGTTACCCTCTGGTGTTTTTTTGATTTATTACGCAGTGAACTTTGACACGCACCCATCTGTGTACATATCCGTAGGTCGGGCCTGTCCCCCTACAGGCAGATTCTGGCAGAAAACTTCAAAATACCCCCAAACATGCTCCACGAATGCTCGAGAATGGTCAACGCATCGTCTCCAGACTATGTTTGAACTATCTTGAAGAATCCCTCCTGTATCGGCGGTGGACAGACCTCCCTTTAGTAAACCTCCCCTTAGTGAAAGCGGCCTGGGACCGAAACCGACGGACCTAGGCCCGCAAAAATGACGGCCGCGACACCCTCTCGCGAACCGAAAACGGCCAATTCCTGAATCGACGTGTCAGGGTAGGAGGTCTATCCACCTCCGACTGTCGAAGGACAGGCCCGACCTAACAATGTGTGCCCACATCCATAGCCATACTCCGTGCCCACGGCCCGCCGAGGTCCCCGAAGGGTCCATCCCCGGGCGGCGGGTCCGGGCCTCGGCACCGCTCGGACGTGTACACTCTCTTTATCGGCAAGGGGTCATCGAGGAGCACTTGCCGTTCTCGCTGCGAAAAAAAATGCACGCACGAAGCCGAAAGATGCACAAGGAATGGGCGTCCAAGCGGTGGCGAGGGATAGGTCCCCACATCGGACTGCACGTCGAAACTGTTGTTCGCCCGGCACTCGCGCCGCGGTGCGGGCCCAAGAGGCCCTCGCCGAACCGCTCCGGCTCGAGACGTGCCGCAGAGAGTCAGCACGCCACTCCTTTCGAATCGTGCTCATCTCGGAGTGTGCTCGTTTCTAACTGTTCCTGGCCCCGCAGTGGCCAGGAAGAGGCCCAGCATGGAACAAATAGAAATGCAAGGCTCTTGCCCCCCCCCCCCCCAAAAAAAAATAGTCCTCGAATGCTCAGGCGTGAACCATGTGTGGGTCGCTTCAACTCTTTGCCGCCGCCGGATCTCAAGGTCCTCCAACCACACAAACCTGGGAGATCCGCCCCCTCCCAAAACAAAAAGAGTCCTCGAACACTTCGAAGTGAACAAGGTGTAGGTCGCTTCAACTATTTTTCTGCGCCGCCGGATCTCTGGGTCCTCCTCCGACCACACAAGCCTCGGAGATCCGCGCGGTTCTCTTGGGTCGGCGCGGGGCCCCTCTCCCTGGCGCGCTCCGGCGCACCATGCCTTTCTGCTGCTCATCCTTTTCCTCGTCCTCCTCGCTCCTCCTCCTCCTCCTCCTCCTCCTCCTCCTCCTCCTCCTCCTCGCTTCTCCTCCTCGCTCCTCCTCCTCGCTCCTACTCATCGCTCCTACTCCACGCTCCTCCTCCTCGCTCCTCCTCGCTCCTCCTCGCTCCTCCTCCTCCTCCTCCTCCTCCTCCTCCTCCTCGATCCTGGACCCTCCGACTCGATCCTCGAGACTCGATCCTCCTCCTCCTCCTCCTCCTCCTCGATCCTGGATCCTCCGACTCGATCCTCCTCCTCCTCCTCCTCCTCCTCCTCCTCCTCCTCCTCCTCCGCCTCCGCCTCATCCGTGGAGCGAAGCCCCCGCGCGGGATCGCTCGGAGGTGGTGCTGGCCAGGCGACGGCGCGCTGGGAGCAGCGCTGCCCGGGTGGCCGGCCGAGCTCGGAACGGGGGCGGGCGCGGGCTCAGCACGAGGCCCGGGCCTCCTCCGACGCCGTGACCATTCCACACCCCGAGGTCTCGATCCCTGCGCCAGGACGGCTGTTTTAGGGGAACGAGCAATGACATGAGCGAGCCCGTGTGAGGAAGAGAAAAAGGAGGAGGAGGAGGAGGAGGAGGAGGAGGAGGAGGAGGAGGAACGGGGGCAGACGGAAGTGAGCTGTGAGGCGGAGGCGCCCGAGTGGTAACAAGACCCCATCTTAGGATATGGGGCGAAAACATTGGGGAACGAACAATGACATAAACATAAAGACTCGGAGGTCCGCGCGGACTTCTTGGATCGGCGCTGGACAGCTATTTTTCGGCGGCGAGCGAGGGGGGGAAATGAGAAGGGGCGGGCCTTCTCAGAAGGCTCGGAAGTCCCGGGGCCTTCTGAGAAGTTTTCTAAGCCTTCCCCGAAGACATGAAAAACTTCTCGGAAGGCGCGAGGGCTTCTGAGAAGTCCCGCCGCCTTCTGAGAAGGCCTCCTCCTTCTCATTTCCCCCCCTCGCTCGCCGCCGAGTTTTAGGGAACGAACAATGACATGAACATTAAGACTCAGAGGTCCGCGCGGAATTTTTGGATCGGCGCTGGGGCCCCCCGGCGGCGCCTCCGGCGCCGCCCCTGGCGCGCTCCGCGCGCCAGGGAGGGGGGTCGAGCGCCGATCCGAGAAATCCGCGCGGACCTCCGAGTTTTTATGTTTATGTTATTGCTCGTTCCCCTAATCCTAAGATGGGGTCCTATTACCACTCGGGCGCCTCCGCCTCACAGCTCACCTCCCTCTGCCCCCGTTCCTCCTCCTCCTCCTCTTCTTCACCCGGGCTCACTCATGCTCGGACTCACTCTCGCACTCCGGCTCGGACATGCTCAGACTCGCTCATACTCAGACTCACTCACTGCCAGACTCATTCACATCCCCCTCTTCCTGACTCAGACTCGCTCATGCTTTGACTCGCTCACACCCAGACTCGAACTCCGACTCACACATTGTGAAAATGTCTCAGCCGATTTGCTGATTTCTTGCGCCCCAAGGGGGAACTGCCAGGGGTGGTTACACGACCCCGTTCGCGGCCAAACTGCGGGGATGTCTCAGGCGGTTTGCCTGCCACGTGGCTTGGACTCCAGCGCTTTCACAACAGATTGTGCAAAGGCCCCGGCCGATCTGCCGGCCTCGGCACCCCAAACGTGGAGCCGCCGGTGCCCGTTCGTGCCCAGCTGGCTGGGACGTCTCAGGCGGTGGGCCTGCCTTTGCCCGCTGGCTTCAGGTCGGACCTGTCCCCCTACAAGGGGGTTTTGGGCGAAGGACGAACAATGCCCAAAAAGTACTCCCCAAAATGCTCAAAGAGGGTCAAACAAGTCGTCCGACGTAACGCTGGCTCGAACAGATTGTGAGGGTGTCGTAGCAAGAGGCCAGTATAGCAAGAGCCGCCGGGTGGCAGGGTGTGAATGAAGGGGCCCAGGGACACACAAATAAATACACACACATAAAAATATTCCCTATTATTTTCAAATATTTTCTGGGTTTTTGTCTTCCCCCCCACTTCCCATATTTTCCTATATTTTCTGGGGAATCGACGATTAATTGTGTCTGTGTGTTTTTTCCCCTCCTCAGTGAAGAACGACTCGAGCGCGGCGCCGGCGTCCGCACCCCCACGAGGAGCCGCCGAGGAGCAGAGTCGGAGGCTGCCTCGAGAGAGGCGCCGGCTTCCCCGAGGGGTCCAAAGGGGGCCTCTGGGGAGGGGGGTTTTCCAGGAGGGCTCCCCCAGGGGCGTCGCACCCCCTGTCTTGACGAGGTTCCGAGGCCCCTGGGGGGCTCTCTGGAGAACCCCCTCCCCCCCAAACCCCCTTTTGGAACCCTCCGGGCTTCGGCCCCCCAGGGGGGAGGCCGCCAGGCGGCAGGACGCTCGCCCGCTCGCTTCCAGATCGTGGGGGGACGTCTCGAGCGAGGAGCTCGCTCTGCACGTCAGACTCCCGTCCATTCGGAGCCGCATGATCACCTCGATGTAACCCCCAAGGGTCTTTAGAACCCCGCCTCCCCAACAGTGGAAACGAACTGTCTGTCCGACGCCCTTGTTCAATATGGGGCGTCGAACAGATAATTAGGGCGTCGACGCCCTTACTCAGTAAGGGCGTCGACGCCCTGATTCAATAAGGGCGCCGCCCTTATTGAAGGGGAACTGGGACACACAAATAAATACACACAAATAAAAATATCCCCCATAGTTTCCCATATTTTCTGGGTTTTTGTCTTCCCCCCGCTACCCATATTTTCCCATATTTTCTGGGAATCGCCGATTAATTGTGTCTGTGTGTTTTTTTCCCTCCTGACTTATTCAATGGTTGGACCACAGCCCGTCAATAAGGCCTATTGACGGACTGTGGTCC